TTTTTAAAGATGGGGCTTCACCATGATGGCCGGCTGGTCTTGAACTCCTGACCTCAGGTGATCCACCCACCTTGGCCTCCCAAAGTGCTAGGATTACAGGAATGAGCCACTACGCCCGGCCCTCTTATTGCTATTCTTAACAATGTTAAATGACACAGTGAGTTTAATAAGTGTTAACTCTAGCACTTTACCATTAAATATTCTTCAAAAGTATTTATTTACCTAGTAAAGATTATAAATTATGTGTAGGACAAAACTTCTTTATCTGTTTAAATATTTCATTTCCCACAAAGCAAAGAGAAATTTTAAAAAGAAGATGAACTAACGAAATCAGTTAGATTTCTCTTAAGATTAAAGTTATTTTCAGTATTATTCACCAATAAAAATCCTATTTTTCATCTGTAAATTGATGCTCCTTTCCTAAGTCTCATCGGAAAATCATTCCACAAAACTAGCTATTATACGTGATTCAAACTACAAAATTAAAATGTAATATTACTTTTATCATGTAGAATCTATGTACACCAAAACTTTTCCTGCGTTGCTTACTCAACCTAATAATGTAAACAATTACTCTCAAACTTCCAAAATATTCCATGAGAGTTAATTGTTAAAAAGTGAATATATTTTTTTAAACTAGGGCAAAACACAAAATACTCAGATTAAAAAAGTTTTCAAAGAAGCCAAATACACATGATAAATAAATGCCCCTAAAATGAGTTTTATATATTATTGCAGAGTAAAACACTCCAACCTTAAATCACAAAACGGGTTTTATGTACGTGTGTGTGTGTATAAGTTGTACACATATATATTATAAAAGAATGAGAAAATGTACCTCAAATTCTTTTCTGAGGCGTTCCTCTCGTTGAGTGCTAAATTCAAGTTCGCTTGTTTGTCGCTGTAAAAGGTCAGAGCAGTCCATATGTTCTGTTTCTAATTTTTCTACTTTCTTATGCATATTTTGCACAGCAGTATCTTGCTCCTGGAAAATAATTCATTTTTGCATCAATAAAGTTTATAAGCCATCAATGACTAAGAGTCACTCCAACAGAAGACAGTGAGTAGCTAAATCTGTGCTTCGACTATAATAATAGGTTAATTTAAATTGGCAAAAGAGGCCTAGATATTTTCCATCAATGTTTCTGAATGTCCATGAGTTAAAAAGCACTGCTGAAGTTTTACAATTCAAAAACTCTGACTAATATTACAATGGAAAATGTTATAGCATATGAGACTGTTATTAGTTCAACCAACCTCAAGTATTTATATAATGCTGTGGTTCAACAATCATATATAATGTTTCCCCTTCCCATTAAAATTTTTAAATGTATATTGCCCTTTGTATAATAAGCAATGATTAACTTGAATGCCTAATAATAATGCTTATATGAGCTCATGGTGCTTAAATTACATGCTTACAGCTTTTAAAATTGCATCCACTAGATGGCTGTGTTTCATTTACTCTTAGGTTTTCAAAAAACTTTCAAATCTTTGCTCAGCTATTGAAAAAGAAGTAACCTCAGGTAGTCTTATACTAAAATCTCTCGATCCCCTTTCCCAACTAAACACAGAAATGGGAGTTGAATTTTACTGAAAAAGTTCAAACATAAAGTTAACATATATATATCAAAGGCATTCTCCACAGTAACTAATCTAGATTCACTGTTCTCATTTAAGGCCTTTAAAAAAGCCCTCTTTTCCACATTTCCCTCACCAGCATAATGTTAATCATAGATAAACATATATGAATATTTTAGATGCTTCCAAGAATACCTAGCCACTCAAAAGATACTAAGGGAATCCGAGTATGTTGCAAACATCAAATACAATTCTCTACCAAAAATTCTAGTTTGAAAATCACCCAGCAGCCTAAGTTCACAGTGAAGAGATGAAAAAACATTTTAAACTCAGCTCCTTATTTCATATCTCCAATTTCTTATTTCTTTTTTTTTTTTTTTTGTACTTTTCTTTCAGGTTCAGGGGTACATGTGCAGGTTTGTTATACAGGTAAACTCATATCACAGGGATTTGTTGCATAGATTATTTCATCACCGAGGTACTAAACCTAGTGCCCAACAGTTATTTTTTCTGATCCTCTCCCTTCTCCCTCTCTCCACCCTTAGGTAGGCCCCAGGGTCTGTTGATCTCCTGTATGTGTACATGTGTTCTCATCATTTAGTTCTCACTTAGAAGTGAGAACATGTGGGGTTTGGTTTTCTGTTCCTGCATTAGTTTGCTAAGGATAATGGTCTCCAGCTCCTTCCATGTTCCTGCAAATGATATGATCTCATTATTTTTTATGGCTGCATAGTATTTAATGGTGTATATATACCACATTTTCTTTATCTAGTCTAACACTGATGAGCATTTAGGTTGACTCCATGTCTTTGCTACTGTGAATAGTGCTGCAATGAACATATGCGTGCCATGTGCCTTTGTAATAGAACAATTTCTATTCCTTTGAGTAAATAACCCAGAAATGGGATTGCTGGAGTCAAATGGTAGTTCTGTTTTTAGTTCTTTGAGGAATAGTCACATTGTTTTCCACAATGGTTGAACTAACTTACACTCCTGCCAATGATGCATAAGCGTTCTCTTTTCTCCACAACCTTGCCAACATGTTATTTTTTGACTTTTTAATAATAGCCATTCTGACTGGTGTGAGATTCCAATTCCTTATTCTTATGAATCCCCTTATTCATAAGATTACTATTCTATAGCAGGCCATACATAAACTCTTAATAATTATTTTCTTCAGGTAATAGACTTCTTAATATAGGCATACCTTAGCAATATGGCTGGTTCAGTTCCAGACCACTGCCATAAAGCAAATATTGCAATAAAGTGAATCACATCAATTTTTTGGTTTCCAAAAAATTGCAAATAAAAGTAATGTTTGTACTATACTGTAGTCTATTAAGTGTGCAATAGCATTATATCTAAAAATGTAATTATTTTAATTTAAAAATACTTGATTGAGGCCAGGTGCAGTGGCTCACACCTGTAATCCCAGCACTTTGGGAGGCCAAGGTGGGACAACCACTTGAGCCCAGGAGTTCGAGATGAGGCTAGGCAACACAGTGAGACCCTATCTCCACAAAGAATTAAAAAAAAAACTAGCCAGGTGTGGCGGTGCACACCTGTAGCTCCAGGTACTCAAGAGGCTGAGGTGGGAGGATGGTCTGAGCTCAGGAGATCGAGGCTGCAGTGAGCCATGATAGGGCTACTGCATTTCTGTCCTTTGCAGCAGAGCAAGATCTAGTCTCCAAAAAATAAAAAGAAAAGAGGACAACAACGTCAAGGGAGGGGTGAGGGGAAGACATCTTCAAAACAAATATGACTTATATCCTCAAAGAGTTAAATTAAGACATTATAAACATGAAACAAGGAGAATATACTATTAAGAAAGGTATCATCAAATAACAAGAATGAGCTCTTAGAAATTAAAAACCAGCCGGGCACGGTGGCTCACACCTGTAATCCCAGCACTTTGGGAGGCCGAAACGGGTGGATCACGAGGTCAAGAAATCGAGACCATCCTGGTCAACATGGTGAAACCCCGTCTCTACTAAAAATACAAAAAATTAGCTGGGCATAGTGGCGCGTGCCTGTAGTCCCAGCAACTCGGGAGGCTGAGGCAGGAGAATTGCCTGAACTCAGGAGGCGGAGGTTGCGGTGAGCCGAGATCGCGCCATTGCACTCTAGCCTGGGTAACAAGAGCGAAACTCCGTCTCAAAA